TCATCATCATCATTCTCTCTGTACTCCACGTGCTCCTACGCGTAAACCTCGATGCCCTCGCAAGCATGACTTATGAGGAGTTTAATAAAGTGAAATTGTTGGTCTTCAATGCCCAGTGCAGTCTAGTACCCACTCCTCCGTAATTGTTATTGTGCACCTCCGCATGTTATTCGTTCTTCTCTTCGTCACATGTCTTGTACTTATTCTTCAGACTATCCTCATACGACAGCCTTCTGCGCCAGAGACTGGCTGAGTCATACAGTCATAACTCCGGGGTATTCTGCATTCATAAGACCAGCCAAGCACTGGAGCCAGCCAGTTCGTATCTCTGCCTTTACCACAGCTGCCAGTTAGAGGCGTTCTTAGGAGATCGTTACTCACACCCAGCTCTGATTGACTGGCGCGTACCAGTGGTGGGTCCCCCACGCAAAGCGTTTGTTACTATTTCTCATCAACTCCTATCCTCCTGACGATATGGTCCTCCGATTTTTGTGATTCGCTTTTATCACCATCTTAGTCGTTAGTATTTGCCGCCGCAATATTATTCAGTTGGTCTGAACGCGAACTTGTACCGCATCTCGAAATAGGTCTACTTCCATTCCTCTGATTATATTTAGATGCATTTACTGCTAATGATCTTGTCTGGGCGTGGTTGTAATTGCAGTGGTTTAGAAATAGTTGCACCAGCTCCTAAAACTTATCCTGAGGCCTTGCATAATCCCTCATCCTAAACCACAACCGCTAACCCCAAACTTTAACCCTAACCACAACCCCAACGGTATTGTGTCCATAAGTGGGTCTACCGAACCACCTCTTAACCCCGCTGCTACATGAACAACCAGTTAGTGCCTGGAGTACAGGCCATTATCTTACGGCATAATCCCAAGATTTGGCAGAAACCGGCCATATTCGTTATAGGTTTGCGCAAATCGCTCAGTAATCTCTCGCTCAGATGAGTCCGAGTCGTGACTGTTTGGGTTTTATCTAAATTGCGTACTTTCACATTCATCTTTTCTAATGATTTACTGTGAAATTCACATGAAATAAGAGGCAGGGACATCGACTGTTCTACCAAAATTATCCTAATATTAGGCACCGTAAACACTGCAAATGAACCTATCTTGCATTTATGTGGGATTAAATTTTCAAGGCTGATATGTAGTTACAACCTTCCTAGTATTGATGTGCTTCAGATAGCTGATTGATAGTTTCCGATAGTGTTGCAATGGAATTTCAGATTAATTTCTTTGAGGTAGCATAGCATGCTATATAGAAATGGTAACTGTTCGAGAGGATGAATTCGAGTCTCGTTTTGGTTAAGAACGTGGTATCTTTCTAACGGATTATATGTGTAATAGTATAGCCCAAATAAATTAAACGCAAGCGAATGCATGAGATGGTCTCTAGATGAACAAAGATTGACATACTGAAAGTCCGCCACGAAATGGAAGTCTCTGTGTTATTACCAACATAGTCAAGTGAGACTAGAATGGCCGTTTCTGGCTTATTAACCGTCGTCAACGAATCATACAGAACTCCGAGTTCGAGCCTGGGGGTGTTCAACATATCGGGGCCCTGACCCTAATCCTATTACCACGCAGCCTATCACACAGTCTGCATTTCTTCTACGTACGATATAATTCCTCAGTCAAAATATTCTGAGGTTCCAATGACGCAGCAGACACTTTTTTGCGTTTCCAGTCACAATTATTGAAATACGGGCATCAATATCTCACCGTCAATATTCACACTAGGCAGCAGCGGAGATTCGGACCAAAACCACCACCACCACCACCATCACCACAACCACCAGCGCCACCACCACCACAACCACCAACACCACCACCAACACCACCACCACCAGCACCACCACCACCTCCACCATCACCACCATCACCACCACCACCACCACAAACACCCCCACGACCACCAACACTATTTCTCTTCCTCCCCCTCCAGGTTTTCCTTCTCCTCCTCCTCCTCCTCCTCCTCCTCCTCCTCCTCCTCGTCGTTCTTCTCTTCCTTCACACCTACCTCGTTCCTCTCATCATCCCCTTCGTCATCTGCTTGCTCCTACGCGTAAATCTGGATGCTCTGCGCCCATTTCTTGCGACGAGTTGAATAATATTAAATTGTTGATCTTCAATGCCCAGTGCAGTTTAGTATCTAATTATCCTTAATTGCTCATGTGCACCTCTGCATCTTTTTTGTTCTTGTATTCGTCACATGTCTTTTACTTATTCTGCAAAATATGCTCCGACGACAGCCTTCTGCGCCAGAGCCTGGCTGAGTCATGCAGTCATAACTCCGGCGAATTCTGAATTCACAAGACCAGCCAAGCACTGGAACCAGCCAATTCGTATCTCTGCCTTTACCACAGCTGACCGTTGGGGCGTTCTCAGGAGATCGTTACTCCCACCCAGCTCTGATTGACTGGCACGTACAAGTGGTGGGTCCCGCACGCAACGCGTTTGCTACTATTTCTCATCAACCCCTATCATCGTGGCGATCTGGTCCTGCCGTTGTAGTGATTCACTATTTGCACTATCTTAGTCGTTATTATTTGCCGCGGAACATTGATCCTGGATTAGGTGAGCCAGTTCATTTGCTCGAGGGAGATGCTCATTCGCTGATTGGACATAGTGATTTCCAGAGGGTGTTTGAGTACAAAGAATTCTGATCGCTTGGATGGAAGCAATGTTCGTCTGACGTGTTCAGTGCATGCAAGAGCCATGAACATAGACGGCGGAGAATGGGGACATGAAAAGGGTTGCCGATGAGGACGAAGAAGAGGAAGAACAAAATCAAGATGATGATGATGATGATGATGATGGACGAAAGATTAAAATGAAATTAAATGAAATTATAAAAAAAGGTGTTCGAAAATTGCTGTAGTTAGTCAGTGTGTTGCAAGCAAAATGTGGATTCTTTCAGTCGGCAATATCTACGTGAATCCGACCCGCTGCGGTGGGCTGTGGATTCGTAGCCCCACCCGAAGTAAGCAAACCCCAGTCACCTCTTATGGGACGCCGGTGGTAATAGGGGTTTATAAAAGTGGATCAAGGGAACGCACAGGGGACGAATTTAAGTAGTTGTATGCAAAAGAAAAGATATTGGAAGTGCGTGGTTGTAATTTAAATGGTTGAAAAATAGTTGCACTAACTCCTATCCCTTACCCTGAGACATTACTATAACCCCTCATCCTAAACCCCATCCGCCAATTCTAACCATTAACCCAAACGCCTGACCATCATCTCTAACCATAACCCCTACCCCTCACCCCAACGGTATTGTGTCCATTAGTGGGCCTACCGAACCACTTCTTAACCCCGCTGCTACATGAGCAACCAGTTAGTGCCTGGAGTACAGGCCATTATCTTACGGCATAATCCCAAGATTTGGCAGATACCGGCCATATTCATTATAGGTTTGCGCAAATCGCTCAGTAATCTCTCGCTCAGATGAGTCCGAGTCGCGGCTGTTTGGATTTTCTCTAAGTTGTGTACTTTCACATTCCTCATTTCTAATGATTTACTGTGGAATTTATATGAAATAGGAGGTAGGCACACGGAATGTTCTACCAAAAATATCCTACTGTTTTCCATGGTAAGCACTGCAAATGAACCTATCTTGAATTGATGTGGGATTAAATTTTCAATGCTGATATTTTGTTACAACCTTGCAGCAGACACTTTTTTGCGTTTCCAGTCAGAATTATTGAAATACTGGCATCAATATCTCACCGTCAATATTCACACTAGGCAGCAGTGGGGATTCGGACCAAAACCCCCACCACCATCACCACCATCACCACCACCAACACCAACACCATCACCTCCACCACCACCAGCGCCGCCGCCACCACCACCACCACCATCCAACACCAAGACCACCACCAACATCAACACCACCACCACCACATCACCAAGACCACCACCAAAACCAAAACTACCACCTTTCACCACCACCAACACCATCATCACAACCACCACCAACATTCCTCCTCCTCCTGCTCCTGCTCCTCCTCCTCCTCCTCCTCCTCCTCCTCCTCCTCCCCTCCTCCGCCACCTTCTTCTCCCCTTCATTCGTTCCTCTCTTCATCCCCTACGTCCTCTGCCTGCTCCTACGTGTAAATCTCGATGCCTTCGCGCGCGTTACTTAATTAAATTGTTGATCTATAATGCCTAGTCCAGTCTAGTACCTACGTATCCGTAATTGTTCTTGTTCACCCCTGCGCATTATTCGCTCTTCTATTCGTCACATGTCTTTTACTTATTCTGCAGACTATGTTCCTACGACAGCCTTCTGCGCCAGAGCCTGGCTGAGTCACCAGTTATAACTCCGGCGAATTTTGCATTCATAAAACCAGTCAAGCACTGGAACCAGCCAGTTTGTCTCTCTGCCTTTACCACAGGTGATAGGAGGGGCGTTCTCAGGAGATCGTTACTCACACCCAGCTCTGATAGACTGGCGCGTACAGTGGTGGGTCCCGCACGTAACGCCTTTGCTACTATTTCTCATCGACTCCTATCCTCGTGACGATCTGGTCCTGCCATTGTAGTGATTTGCTATTTTTACCATCTGAGCCGTTAGTAATTGCTGCGGCACACTTATTCTGTTGATCTGAACGCGATCTTGTAGCGCATCTCGAAATAGGTCTACTTCCATTCCTCTGATTATATTTAGATGCATTTACTGCTGGTGATCTTGTCTCGGGTGTCACACTCGCAAGGAGACGTGGACGTGTACAGCCAGTGACCGATCTCATGACATATTATTCCAAATTCTGGAATGCGTTTCCCGTGGGGAAGGGTTGGATTTGTGCGGTTTTTACGTTGATTATCTTCCGCCATAATCCCAAGATTTTGCAGATACCGGCCATATTCATTATAGGTTTGCGCAAATCGCTCAGTAGTTTGTCGCTCACATGAGGCCGAGTCGTGACTGTTTGGCTGTTTACCGATTTGAATACTTTCACATACCTCTTTTTTATTGATTTACTGTGGAATTTCTATGATTTAAGAGGCAGGGACACGGACTGTTCTACCAAAAATATTCTACTGTTTTGCACCGTTAGCACTGCGAATGAACCTATGTTGAATTTCTTTGAGATTGAATTTTCAAGGTCAATAGGTTGAAATGGAATCCCACATTAATTCCCTTAAGGGAGCACAGCATGCTAAATAGAAATGGCAACTGTTTGAGAGGATGAATTCGAGATATTTTTGCAAGTCGGGTCTAGGTTCAGAAGGTGACATCTTTCTAACAGAATATTTATGTAATAGTATAGCCCAGATATTTTTAACGCAGCCAAATACACGAACTGGCCTTTAAATGAACAAAAAATTACTTACTTAAAGTCCGTCCCGAAATAGAAGGCTATGTTAAACCATGCATTTCAAGGACCACTAATGGATTTAGAAGGTGAGCAAACGCATGTAGTCTCTAAAATTAGCCAAGCAATTGATCCGTCTAATGACATTATTTGCACTCCTAATCATTCCCAAAATGCATCATATAGTACTGAACGTGATTTTATGTTCACGGCGTCCATTGTGATGACGCGCATAAACCAGCTTTTAATATATCGCATGCTATCATATCATGCAATTTGGATATCTATTAAGTCTAGACCGCATGCTCCCGCGTTTATATATGATGCATCATTGTTCTGTGTTCGTATCTCGATGATGGTTTTATCAATTTAGATTGATTATAGTTTGTGCAGCAATGCAAAGTGAGTTCCCGGAATAATTATGCTGGAAATAGACGCCGAAGCTTCAGCAGTTATCAAGAGAACGGCGCTTTAGTCAACAATGAAGAAGAGAATGGGTTGGTGGCAGGTTAGAAAGAGGGGAGAAGAGAGAGTTGACAAGATTACTCATAAATATCAAACAAGGCTTCCTTTCATACGAAATGTATGCGAGTAATAAAGGCCAATTGTTTTATTCTAACTTTAACTTTCAGTAACGACGAGAAGAGGTCATGTACTATCTTCTTTGATCACCTATAACATCTACGCGGTTAGTTTCAATCAGTGACCTTGTTATCTCTTGACGTGTGTGGACTTCTCAGCCGAGTCGACACACATTTAAGATTGTGTGGAAATTAATGCATGAATCAGGTAAACCGAAGTCCATTGAGTTTATCCATTCGCAGTGGAGTTTTGATGTTTATGCAAAGGGCCGTAGAGACAATCGATTTGAGGGTTGTTGCACTCCCGATTTCGGCTGTCTTAATTTCACTATTCACCATTTCACCATTTCACCATTTCACCATTCGTACGCTGGCGTTCCGCCTCACACCCATTTGTTCACACAGCAAATCACCAAGATTTTAACCAACATGAATGTGTGACTGGCGCGGCCGAAGTCGCGCCAAGTCGTGCCTCCACACCTGGCTCGGATACCACGAAGCCAGATTGGCAAACAAGTCACATCTAGGAGAAGCCATTTCAACCTGACTCTTACATCACTAGGGGTGTTTTCATGCTAGTTGAAAGGGCCATGCAGTTGTAACCATGACCCCCTCCAGAGGTGACAGTCTGAGGCAGCCCATCCGAACGGCTTGTTCCATCCTCATCCTCAGTACTGGAAACCTAACGCATAAGGCGAATGACAAAACTCGCACCGTCTGATGGCTAGAGCGTTGGCTGTACTAAAGCCTTTCCCTTGTTATAGGGGGTTCGAATCCCGCCGGGACAGCGGGTTTTTCACTGTTAGGTCAAAATGAATCTAGGTTTAAGGTTGATCTCTTCTTTGGCATCGACAGGTAGACAACGATGTCAGATAGTGAAAACGTTACAGTCCCATCGTTTCGTGAAGCGGTATCGACATTTGCTGTTCATTGTCTAACTACCTCACTGGCCTATTTAAGACTGCCTGATTCTTCATACTCACAGCCATCAATCCAGAGAGGTGTCTTGTTCTGGTGGATGTCCTTCCGGTAGTCCCGTCAATAGCGTAGCTGATCAGACCGAAGCATAAGACACAGCGTCGTCAAACGATGGACCAAATATGGAGTGGATGAGAGAGATTGCTTTGGACCAGAGAATGTGAACTGTTGGGGCGATAGTAGACTCGGAACATGATGACATTTGTCGGCATGCCATGTAGACTCTGAACCAGTCACAGACACCCGGGATTAACAGAATTAAGCTCTGCGGCAAAGTAAATAAAAGAAGACGGCCGTCGGTTGTTACTAGGGGTTCTGGAGATCTGAAATGCGCCACAGTGTGAATATTTGATCCGCGCATCCACGCCCAACGCGAGTCATGCAACCTTATAATCGTCTTAGACTAACAACAGAGGAAGCTTTCACATCAACGTCGATTGGATTCATGACGCGATGGTTTTTGCTAGTCGCCCAATCACTGACTGGAGCCAGGACACTGGAGTGTCGGCACACGATCTGTCGACTTCAGCGAGGACACCGTCCTCTCCAAAAGTCTTGTTGGCGTGTTGTTGTGCGGCCAACGTGTATGATCGAAGATGTCTTCCTGAGGGCGATGGGGGGGGGGGCTTTCACAGACGACACTGCACAAGCTGGAGAGACGGGGGTGGGGACTCTGCTCCAGAGCAGATCGGCTGCTCAAAATGGTCATCTCTCTGCTAGTCCCTCTGGCTGATTTGTCGACAATAAAGCCGCCATCCATATCGCGAACAAAGTGACCCAGTACTAACTTGACGAATGGTTTGGTAGTTCAAGAGTATGGCTGAAATTTAAGACGTTTTATCATGAAAGTTGTATTGCAAGCCCAGTATTTTTAACGGTCATTTTTAATTAAATTCGCGTTATTTCCTGGATTTGAGAGATGAGATCATTAGTGGGAGGCATAGGATTGCGAAAGTGAGCTCTTGTTCAAGGACGAAGAATGTTACAAGGACGATATCTGCTTCGTGATATAGACACGATGATGTGTGAGAGAGTGATAAGCTGTTTGAACTAATGAACGATTTAATGTCGGCTGACTAAAAATGCTGGAAAATTGAGCAAACTTCTGCATCCTTAACCAAGACTTGACGGTGTGCAGTCCAAATCGTTACAGTATGGGCGTTTGATGCATATTCGGGCTTTAAGTTCCAGAATCGGAATTCTGAGAAATCAAGAGCCCTAGGTGAATTCGCACTTTAATCTTCGTCACAACGACACATGTGACTTTTGGGAGAGGCAGTGTAATTATTGCCCCTGGGGACATTGAATCCTGCATTACTGGCATGCGAGGCCATCAATAGCCGTCATGCGCACTTGTGTCTGAAGTGCATTTTTTAACTTCTCAGTCTCTTCTGTTCACCTGCCAAAACAACGCCGGTCAGAGCGGTAGAGAATTCTACTAAACTCCCTGCTGTAGCTGGAGAAGAAGGAGAGAGACGAAGGAGAAGAAGATGCGGAAAAAGTGAAGGAAGAAGAAGAAGAAGAAGAAGAAGAAGGAAAAGAAGAACAAGTATAAGAATAGAAAGATGGAGAAAAATCTGAAGCTCGTTTGTCTAACTTCTCTGTCTCTCTTGTTCACCCACCGATTCAACGCCGGTCAGAGCCCTCAGAGAAGTCTACTTAACTCACTGTCACTGTGCTTTTAAAGTGTTTGGATTTGAGAAGGAGAGGGACAAGGATGACGCGGAGGAGGAGGTAGAGGATGAGGAGGAGGAGGAGGAGGAAGAAAAATAAGAAGAATAGGAGGAGGAAGATGAGGAAGAAGAAGATAATGAAAAGAGCGAGATGTGAAGGAAGAATTAGGCAAAAAAGAAAAACTAGGAAGAGGAAGGTGAAAAAGAAGAGCAGTAGGAAGATGAATAGAAGGAGAAGGAAGAATTGTTTGAATTTGAACAAAAGAGAGACGAGGAGAAGACGGAGCTGGAGAAGAAGAAGAAGGACACAGAGGAAGATGATGATAAAAAAGAAGAAGATGCAGAAGACGACAGGAAAGAATCGGAGATATGAGATGAAGCAGGACAACCAGAAAAGAATTATAAGTGGAAGAAAAGAAGAAGAAGAAGAAGAAGAAGAAGAAGAAGAAGAAGTAGAAGAAGAAGAAGAAGAAGAAGAAGAAGAAGAAGAAGAAGAAAAGGAAGAAGAAGAAATAGAGCTAGAAGAAGCAGCAGCAGCAGAATAAGAGGAGAAGGAAGAGGAAGGTGATGATCATGGTGATGAGAGAAAGAGTAGAAGTGAAAGAATTCGATGGTAGGGGAGGGGAGGAGGATGATGGGAGAAAAGGAGGAAACATTAGAAGAGGCAAACGAACGAGTACAAAGCCGAGAACTGATAGGAAATTTGCATTCGTTCCATCATGGAAGTAAGAGCGAACGTCGCTAGTTTGCTTTATTCCCTTGCAGCAGCGTTCTCTACCTTTAGTCGCCCATTTCTATGACTAGACAGGGTGTCAATAAAAATCCCTACCGACTACCCCCCCTGCGGTTTTCTTGTTGTTGACTGGGCACACGTCAGTCTACTTGACAGTTAACTCACTTTATCGGTGACCTCTAGGCAGCTTAGTCTTGACCAAAAAAAAACTTGCGAATTTTTTTTTGATAACTTACCCCCCTCCTCTTCTGTACCAACCATTGCCCAATCGAATCCACTCTGTGCTGCCCTTAGCCAATAAGTACCTGCAGGCCGTCAGTTCGTGCGTGTGTAACCTCTTGTGCCACTGTAAAAGACAGCCTTCGTGGCCCTCATAGCATTCCGTCTCTGCTGCTCTGGTTACTACTCCGAATGGCGCCTCCACAGACAAAAATATTCGAGGACCGATTTCCCCTGATTCGATGCTGTCCTGCATTGAACGAAATTCATCTTGCTCAGGACATAAAGGATCTGCGGATAGTGGTAGGTTTCCTTACTGCGGACATTTGTGTGTATGTTTGTCAGGTTCAGGAGGGGGCAGTGCTCTACGCTGATCGAATAATATTAGCGGCCCGTATTCCTTCGTTGCGAACCGTTCTCAGTGGTCCTCTTGGGCAGGTGAATTCGGTTCTCAGATGGCCCACAGTGCCTCTCAAGTAAAATTTTCATCGGTTCTCTGATTTAACTTACTACTTGCGCACTTTTTAGCCTCGCAACTACATTCATTCAGTATGTCTACACGGGTCAGGTGCAGATGACACAAAGTAATGCGAGAGGCATGGTTTCGCTTGCCAAAATGGTCAAACTGCCTGACCTCGTGAATTGGGGTGTTGCATTCATGGTCAGAGGGTAACTATCGTCCTGGCCTTACCTACGCGTTGCTAAAGCCTCAATGTAGAAACTCTGCCAGCAATTTGGGACTTTGCCAGGTGCCTGAATGTCGAAGTACTGGCGAAGAAGTGTATCGGCCTGATGAAGGAGCAGTTTGAGCACTTCATTCAAACCGACCTCTTTGTCAGCTTGCCTGCTGAAACTGTGCTCACTCTGCTCCGCAGCGATAAGCTCTCGGTGGGATCTGAGGAGCGGGTTATTGCGGCCATTTCGCGCTAGGTGGGCGCCGGTGGTGTTGCCGATGATGAGAAGTTGAGAGTGCACGCTCCGGCAATGCTGAAGGAGGTGCAATGGCAGCTGACGAGCGTGCAATGTCGCAGTCGCCTGCTGGATAGTTATCCAACACTACGGAAAAGCCCCGAATGTCTGTAAGTGTCTGCAATTTCAGCCCTGTTAATTTGAGATAAAAGTTATCTTATGCTTCAGGTGGAGCACTGGATTGGCGCTGCAGTGAAGGACAAGCCTCCTCGCCCCTTCAACATCAGGCCACGCCTAAGCCAGACGTTCTTCGTTTGTGGAAAGGATAAAGGTCAAGACAGGTACTCTGTCCATCGCGTTGACGCGCACCTGCGGCGGGCAGAACGAGTTGCTGACATGAAGGGTCCTGGTAATCATGCCTCCTACAGTGTCGTGGGCGGTGAGTTGCCGGACAGCGCATGCCGTTTGTTTACGTGCTTGAAGTCTAATGTGTGTCTATGTGTGCGCGCAGCATTTGCTATTGCGTAGGCATCTCGAGCTCTTGAGTTAGTCCACAGAAGCAGCCGCAGGTGCGGTTTTGAAGAAAACAAATTAATTAGGAACTTGAACAAGTAAGCTATTTGTTGTGACTGGCGCCTGTCTAGGGGTTCCTTTTTTGAAGATGGTCTATCGGCCAGTTACTCTTGTGTAAGTACACTCAGCTGGCCGCCTTATGCATAACCTTTTCCACCCTCCACCAGGAGAGAGCATTTTCGTTGTTGGAGGAGGATGCAACCCAGTGCGCGCTGATGTCGACGAGTTTTTGGTGAGAGAAGGACGCTGGTGCGAGCGTACGCCCCTCGCCTTTGCACGCTTGGAGCACGCAGCAGCAGTCACAAAGGTTCCCGCCATCGCCGCCGCAGCCGAAGAGAAGACGCTGATTGGCGTTTTTGGTGGATGGGGTAGAGATGCACGCCTTTCCTCCTGTGAGCTCTATGACGTCATTCAGGACAGGTGAGAAGACGCCGGTCGTCGTGGCACATGCCATAAATATCATTCACTCACTGTCCCGCTTTCCCTCCGCCTGCCCCGAACAGATGGCACAAATTGCCCGATCTGCCGGAGAAGAGGAGCAGTTCAGCTGCAGCCTGCCTACCCGGCGACAGTCGGGTCTTCGTTTTTGGCGGTAGGGATAACTCCTCCTCCGCGCTGGCTTCCGTGGTCTTCTGCCATCTGCGGGCAGACTGGCAGGGACAGGGGACCCCAACGGAGTTTTGGCAGCCAGCTGCCCCCATGAGAATCGCACGACGGGGGCTCGCAGCGACGCCATTTCGGGGAGCAATCCTGGTCGCCGGTGGACACGATGGCCAAATGAATCTCAATGTCGTGGAGATGTTCTCGTTGCCAGACGCCAGCATACCCCTCGGCCAGTGGACAGAGCTGGCCGGCATGAAGCAGCCTCGCAGGTACTTCACTCTCCTCACCTCCGCCAAGGCTCTCTTTGCCCTCGGTAAGGCGACACACAGATTAGATGGATCCTTTCATGCTATTTGCTGGCCTCTTTCATGTAAATCCATTTTTATTCTACAAAGCTGAATGATTACAGCATCTGGAAGGTGACGCCAGATGCAACTGTAATATGTGAGATGACGCCGTGGAGGGTTTTCTCCTGCGCACTGCGCCATCACAGCCAGAGGCAGAAGATATCATTGTGAATACGTCCTATCCTTCATTTTTAAAAAAACTTTTCTCTCGGGTGTCTTTCCTTTTTAAATGCCACGTCATTATGATTATTCAAACGAAACATTGTAGGCAACGACGACGCGCCGAAAAACACGGTGGAGACTCTCACGGCACCAGGAGGTTCAACCGACTTTGACGACGACTTGGCATCTTGGGTCTGGTCGTCCATGAACCCAGTGGAGACGCTGGAGTGCATTGTTGGAGTTGCAAGCACTCGCATGTAAATGCCTGCGTTGATTTTTCTTGGATCTCACCTTGTAATTTCCTCCATTGGCTGCGTATTGAAGATGAACGACTGGCAAATAAATCTGTCTTGACAGGTGTTATTTTAAAATTCTGAAAAGATGCGTGCGGTGTCCAGCATATGGCATGGCCGAATAATGTCAATTTTTGACTTTGGGAAAATGAAATAGGGGTGTGGGGACTAGGTGAACTGGTTAATTTGCTCGAGGGAGATGCTCATTCGCCGATTGGACATAGAGAATTCCAGAGGGTGCTTGAGTAGTATTCATTCTGATCGCTGGGCCGAGAACAATATTCGTGTGACGTGTCCAATGCATTCAAAAGTGAAGTATGTGGACACGACTGGGGGAAACGATGGTGATGATGACGTCGGCGATGATGAGGGCGATGATGATGATGATGATGATGATGTGGGCGATGATGGTGATGGTGAGGGCGATGATGATGATGAATAACGAGGGCTGGACGGTCGTAGTGGTCCTTTGGTGTGCCTGCACGTATCTCTTTCGGCAGAAAGTGAGACGCGGAGTGGCGTTAGTATTTTACTGCGAAAACAACATCGCAATAAAACACCGGACATGATTCTCTTCATGTGTGGAATGCCAAAGAGGGATTTAGGCATCATAGGTAAGAGTGTGGTTTTTGAAGATTACTGTGATGTTGCGAATGGCCATTGTAGTCCGTTTGTGAAAAAGCACCTGAAAACTATACCGAATGTACGCTCGCTCCCAAGCGTCACCTGTATCAGAACGGCATAACACACAATTTTCGACGTATGTCACCTCTTACATTAACCATATTGCTTATTAATTTCCACACTGCAAATATCTTACATTCACACATGATTTTGGAATAATTCGCACAAATAATCTAGAAAAATAGGCTGCAACCTGCGTCATCCATCTTATCGCTTATCTCCTTAATTTCTCGACGGTCAGTTGGTTGCCCTTTCCGCTGAAGGTCCCGAGGTTTGCAAGCCAAAGGAGGATTCCCTCAGTCGACAATATCTACGAGAATGAGACCCGTTGCGTTCGGATGTGGTTTGGTGGTGCCACCTGAAGTAAGCAAACCCCAGTCACCTCTAATAGGGGACCTGTGTTAATATGGGGTTTTTACAGGCGGAGGCGGGGAACGCACATGCCACGAGGACAAGTAATTGCATGCAAAAGAAAACCTCTTGGAAGTGCGTGGTTGTAATCTGAATGGTTGAGAAAGAGTTGCACTAACTCCTAACCCTTACCCTAACCCCTTACCATAACTCCTTATCCCAACCCTCAACTGCTAACCCTTACCTTTAAACCTAACCCCTAATCATCAACCCTAACCATAACCCCTAACCCTAACCTCAAACCGAACAATATTGCATCCAGCAGGTGGGCCTACCAAACCACATCTTGCACCCGCTGCTGCCGCATGCATCACCAGTGAGTGCCTGGAGGACAGGCCACTATCGGGAGTACACCTGAAGCTGCTAGGCCCTGGACCGTGAGACGCCTGTACACCTGGCCAGATAAAATCGATCGCGCTCAATACGTACCCTCATATCGATCGCTGTACATGCACGTGGTTTCTGCCAGATGGAAGAGGGCTTAAGGCGAGGAGAGGCGCACTTTGATAACCTTGTGAATGTCGTCAAACTGAGCCGCTTGCCGTGGCGTGCGCAATCGATGTGTGCCCGTCATTACACAACAACAACAACGTAGTCACAATCCAGCGTCCATATTTCACAACAATTCGCCGTATCTCACCCTGAGCTGATGAGATTATTGCTAAATATGCTATCAGCGCAGTGCACTTATTTTGTACGCAAATGATTCTGCGGATTATTCGCACCATTATTTTATTTCGTGGGTTCTTTATGCAGTATCATTGTTTAAGAAGGGAAAGATTTCGACTTGAAGTGATCAGAAACAGAAGCATTTAGTTCCACGTCTTCTTTACCAAATCCTTTAATAATTCCACGCAATTTAATCGCGTTTGCTCATCCGTTAAACATATTATTAAACTCTAACGCGAAAAGGTTGTCTTGGGGACTTCTCTTTCAGAGTGGACTCCCATTTCCAATTGTGTCTTTATTTTTGCCCTCAAGTTGACCGCTGTGTTTGGCCCTTTTAAGCATCTCACCTCATCGTTTTGCTTAGCCATCTTTCCTCCGAACGATTTAACACCGCAAACCTAAATCCAACTTGAAAAATTAATCGTGGTTAGCCTCTCACGCTGTCCGCATTTCTACCACGCATGATATAATTCCTCAGTTAAATTATTCTGAGGTTCCATTAACACGGCTGACACTTTTTTGCATGTATAGTCATAATTATTTAGGTACTGGCATCAACATCCCTCCGTCATTATTCCCACTAGTCAGCAGTGGGGATTCGGGCCGCCGCCGCCGCCGCCACCACCACCACCACCACCAACATCATTCCTCCT